GGGGCGTTTGAGCGCGCCAATCGGCGTTTCCATCTGAGGTGGATATTTTCCAAAGAAGCTCAACTAAGGTGCTCAACCAAAAGCAGCTGGCAGATGGCAATGCTGAAGGTAAGGTGTGTGATTTAGTAGAAGATAATGTGTGTGACAAAAGGCATTTTACCCTTAGACCGAAGCGATGTCAGTGAGTGGCCGCCTGAGCCAGTACGCCTTCAGGGTGGTCCTCTTCACCGGCGACTACGTCATCACCAGCAATACTATACACATGGTATATTCATCATTATGTTTTAATGAATTGAGAAATATTTTCCTGACGACTTTTTTTGTTACCATTTTTTAGGCTATGGGCTGGATGCTGACGGCTTTCATCTTTGTTCACGGAATGATGGCTTAAAATAAAGAAATTTTTTTATATTTTTATTTAGCAATATTTTATCGTGTTTCAAACTTTTGCTTAACTGCAAAGTAAACAAGCATTTTTTTTGAGAAGCCGTTGTTTTCATATTTATCATGTAACGTTATCATATTTAGGTAAACAAATAATTAAAGATAAAATCAACTAAACGTGTTTTAGAGTCCGTTTACAAATAATGTTTTATTTTTACTAATACATTTACACCTTTTTTACAAAGTTTTTTAAATGTAAAAAACTGTTACTACAATGACTTGTTTGTTCATCAAAAACAGTGCATTAATTGTTTTGAGCATTACTAGCCTTCTTTGCACAACGTTAGGCGCTTTTCTTTTTGCTACAATCAACAAAAAGTTGTACAACTTTCAAAATGATCCTCTAAAACACCACAAAACTCGTTGTGCCTTGGAACTGGCTATTTTCAGTTTGACTTTGCTGAAAGATATTATTGAGCTGCTAAAAAACATAATATTTTTTGAGCCGAGGTTTACTGGTCGTTATTTTGAAATGGTAGACAAAATACTAAAAAAAGTTACAAAATAAAATTGAAATTTATAAATAAACATTTATACCTTTTATACAGATGCTAATGGGAAATCGTGCCGGCCTTTTCGGCATGTTTATACTGAACATCAAGCTAGCCTACTTTGTACTTCTTTCCCTCTACAGTTACCACATTCGTCGGTGCGTGGCTGCCAGCCCCAGTGTAGCATCATTTAGAAGGTACCTCTTGCTCGGACTGGCGGTCACTGCAGTGACCACGGTTTTGACGTATGCAGTGCAGCTGACTATCGTTGTGCATCAACCAATCAAGGGAAGAAAACAACATGAAAGCGTAGTACGCATCTACAGCATCACCAGTTTTCCCTTCAAGATGCATCTTCCCAGTGAACAACGATTAGGGGGTTTCATAATAGGTAACTACTGTTACAATGTTTTGCCACTGCTTTTATTTACAAAACTAATTAAGCTAATTCAAGTGTACACCTTCTGCATCTCTCTGTTCTGCGCCATCAATTTGGTGGTCATTTTGGTGGCCAAGTTCAGAGCCCGTCATGTTCACTTTCGTTGCAGTTGTTTTGTCTTCAACATTATCGTCGTCTACCTGCTCATTTTCACCACTCTCTCGGTGACGTTGAGCGAGTTGATTAGCTGGCTGAATGTGTTCATGCAGTCAGAAGGCATCGACAGAACTGAAACAAAGTTATCAAATGAACTAACAGTCAGTGGTAACTATTCCTGTTTAGTGAAGTTGTTTTGTCCCTATACTCAAGGGCCAATGCTCTTTCTGGAGCAGCTTTACATCTTTTGGGCCACTATGCGGCTGAGAAAAAAGGCGGTAGTAAAAAGGTGTAATTTATAACTGAACCACAGATTCTTTTTTTCTACCCAAAATGATGGCATACAAATTCAATTTTTATACAAAACAAAAACAAAATAAACCGGCAGATTTACAGCAAATTATCAACACCTAAAAAACAACTTACTAAAACAAAAAAAATCTGTTCATCATGAAGAGAGCACTACTAAAGCAAGTCACCACCAAAACAGCCAAATTAGAGCTCACATTAGTCACCGTCGTCGCCGCCGCCGCCGCTCCACTCTTCAAACAACCCACCGCAAAGTGCTTCCGCTTCAGCTTCTCCAGAATTCCTTTTGCCTTCAACTCTTTAATAGCTCGATTAAAAAGTTTCAGGTAGGGGGACTGCTTGCGAAAGGCAATCGCGTAGTGGCTGGTGATGTAGAAGTTCGGGTCGGTCAGTACCTTCAGCGAGCAGTCGCGGCTGGCGGCGAAGGTGTTCTTCGGCTCCTCGCGGAGGAGGACAAACGGCTGGCTGCGGACGGCGGCGAGGGCCTCGGCCTCGTCGGCCACCAGGCCGCCGGTCGACTCGCGGCGGCTGATCTGCTCGATGAGCCAGCGAGGGGTGCGCGAGGCGCGGAGGGCGTTCAGCTGGCGGATGATGATGCTGCCGGAGTAGGCGCCCACGCTCAGGTTTGACTTGGTGGCCAGGTCGTCGAGGGTGTGGAAATTTGGGGCCAGCTCCTTCCTCACCAGGCCGGCGATGCTGAAGGTGAAGATCGGCTCGGTGAACTGGACGTACTGCTCGCGGAACTCGTTGACGGTGAGGTCGCCGACGGCAAAGTCCGCCTTCTTGGAGAGCACGTCGGCGATCATGCCGACCAGCGGGCCGGAGCGGTAGATTCGAGGGCCGTAGTGGCCATCCTCCACCAGGTACAGGCTGTAGTTGAGGGCGGTTCGGGCCTTGATCTCATTCAGCACGTCCACGCAGTACCCGGAGAAGCGGTTGTGCTCGGTGGTGATGAAGGGCGCGGACTGTAATGAAAAGAGGACAAAAAAAGTTAGTATTTTGAAATGCTTTAAAATATCTCTGAAAAGCGCCTACTTTTATGGTGACACCGGCCAGCACTGTGGCGGAGGTGAGCTGAAAGTGGGCGAAAAAGAGTAATAGCAGCAGACAGTGCAGCGGAAAGTTTATTCTTCTGTTTTCTTGGTTGCTGTTCATTTGTGTTTTTTGGTTAGTTTTTGATGATTTAAAAAAATAAAAATTACTACTATGTTGCTAATTTTTATTTTAGCAAAAAAGTAAAAAATCTTTGCAATTGTTAATTTTGTTGTGGTAGTTTGAAAAAGGTATTTTGAAGCAGTTTTAACTTTAGTGCAACAAACACAGCACTAGGAAAGGGCACACTTTACAAAGTGAAAAAAAATTGACGACAAATAAAATAATAATCAAAATTAAGCTCAAAAGTCATTGCGGAAAGCAACAAAAAGGAAAGACTTTTTTGAAAGGCAGAAAAACCAAGTGAATGGCGCATCATTGTGGTAAGACACAGACAGAACACAACACAGGCAGACACTTTCAGACTTTTTCAGTCGCATTGTGACACTGTTTATGTTATCACTTACGGTTTTTTATCAGCTGCTGGAGAGCAGCAGCAGCATCAGCAGCAGCACCCGAAGCAGAAGCCGTTACCGTCGCCGCTGCTGTAATATCTTACACTTTTCGTCTTGGGTAACTGGAAAGGGAGCGAGAGAGAGAGAGAGGGAAAAAAGGTTCACTTTCCAAGCAACTACTGAGCAGTTATCAACAGTTTGGGGATGCGCTGACTGATGATATGACCAATAGTTTTTTGGTATGACATATTAGTTAGTTAGTTCAGTTGAACAGAGAAAGAAAGAGACTTTCTCAAGTGTGAGAAAATTTCAACCGCCAGTGAAAAGTGTGCGTGAGTGTCTGCAATGAGTCACAGCACTGTCATTTCAGCTGCCAATGTAGGAAGCAGCTTTACTAAACTCACTGCTTTCGATGACGACTTTGCCTGTAACAAAAGCAGGGTGAAATGAAGTAAATGTTGATTTAGCTCTAAAATGAAATGGCGGTAGCTTTTCAATTGGATAAAAAAACGCTACAAGTTAACAAATTATCAGTTTCATTTTCAAACTTAAAATTAAATTTTTTTTCAATTTTTGAGCTAATGCACTTGTGAGTGCGCTCGTGTGCCACTTTACAGTGGCACTCAAAATCATAGTGCACAATCAAACGCAAAAGTGAAAAGAGAACAGTTTTACACTGAAAGACAAGCAATAAAGTGAAACTGTGCTGAGCAACTGATAGTGAAACAAACACTCACAAAACAGACATATTTCAGCGCAAAGTTTTCGCTGCAGTATTCGATGCATGTTTTTTTTTGTTTGCATAATCACAATCGCCCGTCCAAATCGCTCTGTGCAGTGGCTGACGTGCAGCAGTTTTATCAGTGCAAACAAGTGAGAGTGAATGAAAGAAAAAGCGAGAGAGAAAATGTGCACAAAATGAAAGCACAGTCGACAAGCTCATGCACAACACACTCACAGTCAAAAAAGGCAGCCGAAAGTAAAACGTGTTTACCCACTATCTCTGCTGATCAGTGTCCAAAAACTCGCTCGCCACCGCCAGAAACAGCTCGCCACCATGTCATCAACCGAAAGCAGCAGCAGCAGCAGCAGCAGCCTCAAGGTGCTCTTCATTCCCGTGGACCACTGGGGCCACATCAACCCCTGTATCGGCATGGCCGAGGCGCTGCTCGGCCTCGGCCACCGGCCCTTCATCGCCCTGGAGCAGTCCTGGCGGGGGCGGATCACCTCAGTAGTTCCCGGCCTGGAGGAGGCGCTGTACGTCGACCCGACACGGACTGCTGATAAGAGTTCAGCGAAGGCAAATGAGCACTGGCTGGAGAACCTCCGGTCGCGGACGGCCTCCTTTCCGCTGGAGGGCATCGAGAAGTTGCGGGCCGTCTGCAGTAACCGGCAGTACAACAGCAGTCGACTGTACATTCTGCTGAATGTGAATGAAGAGCTCCGGCGGATCATCGGCGAGCTGGCGCCGGATGTCATTCTGGTGGACTGCTTCTCCACGGTGCCCGCCGTCTACCACTCCAAGGTCCCGTGGATTCGCGTCTTCTCCGGCGGTCCGCTGCGATTTCTGCCCTCTGATGAGCTGCTGCCTCCACCGGCCAGCGGTAAACTTTTACAGTGTGTTTTGATGACTATTTTAACCCTAAACCCAAATTTTTGCTTTTGCTCTCCCAGGGCTGCCAACAAAGGGCGACAAAATCGAGTGGAAAAAGTACCGGGAGCTGGAGTTGTCTCTGCTGCAGGAAACACTGCAGGAGTTTCACGAGAAGATGGCCCGGGAGTACGGCGTTCCAGTGCCGAATGCGGACAGTCTCCTGCAGACCGCCCACTACTCGCCCTACCTGAACATCTACGCCTACCCCGAGGAGCTGGACTACCTCGACATTCGACCCCTTCCACCGACTTTCAGAGCCTTCCCGCACTTTATTCGCCTCTCTGAGAAGGCAGAAGAGGACTTTTCCGGAATTCCAGAGGAGTTTCTCAGTCTAAAACTGGGGAAACTGGTTTACGTGAGCATGGGCAGCATGGGCAGCGTCTGCCGGCTCCTCATGAGCCGACTGGTGGAGATGCTTTCCAGCTCGACAAATCGATTCATCTTTTCCCTTGGTCCTAGCTACGATCACCTGACCAAGGAAAAAGGTCCGCTGCCTTCGAACATCTGGGCGGCCAAGTTTGTGCCGCAGATCGAGGTTCTGCAGCTGGTCGACCTGGTGGTGACGCACGGCGGCAACAACACTCTCCTCGAGTCGCTGTACTTTGGCAAGCCGATGATCGTCTGTCCGCTTTTTGCCGAGCAGCCTGAGGTAAAAGAGCTATTGAATTTTCTAAATTTTTTTAAATTATTATCAACTTTCTCTAGAACGCCCAACGCCTCGAGGAAGTTGGCCTCGGACTGCGCATCAACCCTTATACATGTGAACCGGAGGAGATGCTATCTAAAATAGAACAACTTTTAGGTGATGAGGCGTTAAAGCAAAAGCTAAAGGTAATTTCGCAGCAGATGCAAGCCTCGCAGAGCACGCAACAGGTGGCACAGGCTATTGTCAAGGTGGCCAAAAGTGAACTGTAGAATCCTCACCAATATCAGCAACTAATTGATGGAAAAACACCTGACTTGTTTTGGTGAATGTTTTTCAAACAAGTACAACAGCAAAATGCTTTTAAGAGCACCAAGACTATCACCGCCACTTAGGTGTTTTTTCACTTTTTAACCTTTGACCCCTCTGAAAGAAGTCAAGTTTTTCTTTTACCGCTGTTCTGCCACCACCACCACCACCAAGGCAGATCTTTTTCTTTGTGTTGACAAAACAAGTTTGAAAAAGATGAGAACCTCACGTATGTCCAAAGTTGCTGTCTGATATATAAATATTGATAACTTTAGACAAGAAAAAAATGCTACAAATTTTTCACAAATTGAAAATAAAACAAAATAAAAAATTGATCACAAAAATGTCTTATACCGTTTGGCTGTTTTGTGCTTTCATCGTCGTCTGTTTCTTCAAACCTAGCAGTAGCCATCCAGCGAATGTTTTGCCCAAAAGAGGCGACAAAGTCGACGACGGCCTAAACTGTGACGTGAAAAACAACGCCCAGATTGACGCCTTTGTCGCCAAGTACATGGTCATCGGGCGGCACGGCCGCCTCTACCCGGAGAACACGCAGCAGCTGAAAACTTTTTGCGAGTAAGCTAAACTTTTCAAACAGTTGCTAAAAAACAGTACTCAACTAACTTTTTTTCCCCAGCGACTCAGGGCTCATTTTGCAAACGCTGGAGGCGTACAAGCGCAAGTGCTTCCGCGGCACTCTGAAACACCTCTCCTCGCTGTTCATCTACTCAAATCGAGCCGCCTCAAAGCGGTTTTGCTCCTCCAAAACGACAACAACTGCTGGGAACAGGGCTGTGAAGGCGGCGGCGGCCATTGCCCCCAACTGGAAGGTGACCCGGTGCGTCAACTCGCATATGCCGCAATTTAACCGGTGCATGGACCGCCTCATCGACCGCTTCATCGGCATCAAATACGCCGAGGACGAGAAGAAGATGCCCTTCATCTGCTGGTAAATAAGAAAAAAAATTTAATCCTCATTTTGTGACAACCTTATTACATTCTTTTCTCCCAGTGAGTACGTCCGCCTCGTCGACTGCTTCACCGGCGAGCTGACCGACGGCGGCGGCGTCGGCGTCGGCGAGGTGAAGGTGAAGGGAGGCTGCAAGGCGGAGATGGAGAACATCCTCCACTACCTGCAGTCGGTGATGGGCGCCTTCCTGGACGCCACCTGCGGCGAGTACAGCCCCGAGACGGACCGGTGCTCGGCGCTGGGCGAGCCGCCGGCCAAGCTCGCCCATGAGAGCACGCCCAAGAGTCTGCTCTATCCACTGT